TTGTGTTGATAGTTTGAGGGAGAAAATTCTTGAGGAGACTCATAATTTTTCCTACTCCATTCACCCCGGTTCCACCAAAATGTATAGAGATTTGAGAGATGTGTATTGGTGGGGAGGCATGAAGAAGGACATTGCCAAATTCGTCTCCGGTTGTCATAGTTGTCAACAAGTCAAGGCCGAACATCAAAGGCCAGGTGGTCTAACCCAAGACATAGAGATTCCTACTTGGAAGTGGGAAGAAATTAATATGGATTTTGTAGTTGGTTTACCCAAGACTAGAAAATGTTTTGATTCTATTTGGGTGGTGGTTGATAGGATGACAAAATCGGCTCATTTTCTACCGGTAAAGACAACATATGGAGCGAAAGATTATGCAAGGTTATATATTCATAACTTGGTAAGGTTGCATGGGATTCCTCTATCCATCATATCGAACTGTGGTACTCAATTTACTTCACACTTTTGGAAGTCCTTTCAAAGGGGTCTAGGTACGAGAGTTAAGCTTACTACGGCCTTTCACCCGCAAACGGATGGACAAGCCGAAAGGACTATCCAAACACTTGAGGATATGCTTAGGGCTTGTGTATTGGAGCTTAGGGGTAGTTGGGATGATCATCTTCCATTGAATGAGTTTGCCTATAACAATACCTATCATTCTAGCATCGGTATGGCTCCTTTTGAGGCTCTCTATGGGAGGCGTTGTAGATCACCGGTTGGGTGGTTTGAGGTTGGTGAGGTGGCTTTGTTAGGACCAGACCTAGTTATGGAGGCTCTTGAGAAGGTTAGAATGATTAGAGAAAGGTTGAAGACGGCCCAAAGTTGCCAAAAGTCCTATGCCGATGTGAGGAGAAGGGCTCTTGAATTCCGAGTTGGTGATTGGGTCTATTTGAAGGTGTCACCCATGAAGGGTGTGGTTCGTTTTGGTAAGAAGGGCAAGTTGAGCCCAAGATACGTGGGTCCTTATAAGGTGATGAGGAGAATTGGCAAGGTAACTTATGAGTTGGAATTGCCTAGCGAAATGGATTTGGTTCATCCGGTATTTCATGTGTCTATGTTGAGGAAGTGTGTGGGTGATCCGAATGCCATTGTGTCTCTTGATTATGTGGATGTTGTTGAAGATAATTTGACCTATGAAGAGGTTCCGGTCCAGATTTTAGATAGACAAGTGAAGAGGTTGAGAAACAAAGATGTGGCTTCCGTTAAAGTCCTTTGGAGAAATCAACAAGTTGAAAGTGCTACTTGGGAGGCCGAAGCGGATATGCAAAGACGATATCCTTATCTTTTCCACTCCACTCAAGCCTAAGGTATTGATCTAAGCCCTTTATAAAATTTCATGTCTTAAGTTCAGCCCCCATGTCATTGCATACATTCATGTTTAAGTTGACAAGTTCATTGTGGTTTTACAACTATGTTGAGGTTTTTGAAATAAGGTGTAAGTGCATTGTTGCATCCTTATGTGGGCTGATATTGCCATGATTGTGTCCCTCATGTACGTTTCTTTAACATTCGGGGATGAATGTTCCCAAGGGGGAGATATTGAAACGACCCCAAAAGGCTCGAAAATGTGCTTCGGAAACACCTATAATTGTAATTTCCATATATCTCAAAATCCGTACATGATTTCGGAAATTCGACTTCATATTCTTATTCAGGGGGTCAAATTGAGTAGGAAATGCATCTAACCCAAATTTTAGAACAATCGTATCAAAATTCGAAAATCGCAAAATATGCAATATTCAGGGTCAAGTTTAAAGGGGCATATCTCTTAGCACACAAGGAACTGGAAGGGCCACCACCTATTAAATGAAATCCCTTTGAGTTAGCTTTCCAACTCACCTAGTTTCACTTCATTCCGAGTTAGGATGAGGGAGTTATGATCATTTTCGTAAAACCTGTCTCGACAGAATTGCAAATTTCAGTGAGCAAAGTTACTGTAGCGGCTGGAGACGTTTTTATTTTATAAAAAGAGGATATGTCCCACACTTAGTTATAAATTTTTCTAGCTCCAAAACACTCAAAAACACTCTCTAAGCCCTCTCCAAAATTCCACCAAGATCTTCAACCAAATTCAAATATCTCAAGCTCTAATTCCGGATTCAAGACTCAATCTCAAGCTTCAATTCTCCATTCCAATCTTCATCAAGGATTCTCCAAAGTTGAGGTATGTGGGTTGATTATGGAAACCATCCTTTCCACAAGTCCAACCATTTATCCTCTATTTTACTTCAAGTTTATGTGTCCTTATGATCATTTATGAACTCTTGAATTATGGAATTACTAATACACATTCTATTATGGTCTATTTTTGCATATTATCATGAAATGGAATTATTATGTGATGTTTATGGTTTTCATGCTTCCATTATCAAATTATGAAGGTTGATATATATATGTATGTTGTTGGTGGGCTGATTTATATGTATTTCGGAATTGGTTGGACTTAGTATTCTTGAAAGACATAATTTTATCTACATGAACAATAGCCCACCATGTGTTTGATAAAATGCCATTTATAGAATTCTTAGGAAATGGAAGGTCCAATGTACATCCTAGGAGTCGGATGATTATATAATTATTGAAATGATGATAAAAGGGATACATGTATATGATTTCTCTATATAGTGTTGTGAGTCGACCAAGCCTAGTACGGGGGGTAGTAGGCCCGTATAACCGTATCGAGGGGTTGGTACCTTGGTTGCCTAGTACGGGGGGGTAGTAGGCCCGTATAACCATATCGAGGGGTTTGTACCTTGGTCCCTAGCTCGGGGGTGGTAGGCCCGGGTAACCACATTGAGGGGTTTGTACCTCTTTCGCCTCTCCAAGGGGGTGGTAGGCCTTGGAAATACTATATTGATGGTCACTCGCCACACATGTACTACGTCCCACTAAATATGATTTTTATGTAAGCGTCATTATATATATCATTTCATTAATGTGCTATCTATCGGGTATGATTATGCATTTTTCCTATGATGTCCATCTATTGTAGCATTGCATTGCATCACATATACTTAGTACATTCAAACATACTAATGCATACTCTATGCCTACATGATGTCACCATGTAGGGACCGGAGCACCGCTTGACCATCCTCCTCCGCGTGGCTAATACGATTTTCTATCGAGGTTATTGGTGAGTCCTCCATTCCGGGGACGTTGCTTATGATCTTTTGCTATGTATAAGACTTTTCTTCTTTTGTTATGTATTGACTATGAGGGTGAGCCCGGTAGTTTGTCTTGGCCCCCGCTAAGTACTCATGTTTAGAGGTGGTGTTGGACAAGTTGTGTATTATGCTTGAACTTGACTCATCTATGGTATTTATGTATCATTTCTTCTTCTTTTTCTTGCTCCCTTAGTCCCGATTTCCCCTTGATTATTCTTATCGCTTATGGTCATTTTAATTGCTTCCGCGACCAAGGATGTGTAATGATACGCTATGAGGCTTGTTTGGGGTTCCTTCAGGTTCCCCATTCGCCGGTCATGTCTAGGCCCTAGGCTTGGGTCGTGACACGAGTCTATTTTCTTTTCTTAGTTATTAGTTGTTGCTTTTATTTATTTATATTTTTGTTAATCATTTTGAGTCTATCTTAGTCTTAGCTACTTCTATTCTCATGTTTTATTCAAATCATTGTGTTAAGAATATTTGAAAATGAATGAAAATGATTTACTTTTGGTCAGCTCATGTACATTTATTATTCTAAAAAAAAATAATTAAAAAAAATATATATATTATTATCTTTCACGAACTACGTAATGATCTGATTCATGTTCAACATGATACGTAGGCAACCCTCAACGGGTTCGATCGAAATGCGTTTCAAAATTATTCAAATAAGTAAAATATAAGACTAAGAGACGTAATCAAGTCGTCTAAAGCCAGGATGAAACATAAAAGCCTTCCGAAACTCATTTTAGAAACATAAATAATTTAGGTGCATAACATACAACGTGTGATTATCGTTTGCAAAACACTAAACCCTAACATGTTTGTTTTTTTTTAAGAGAAGAGAAAAAAAAAAAAAAGAGTTTTAAGGTGGTTGGTTTGTGATTAGAGTTGGCATCTCATCAATACTACACCAGATCAAAAGGGAAAGGGAAGATGACGCGCAAGGAGGGAACAGAGTCGGGAAATGACGACGTCCAAACAGTTGCACAAGAATCGGTGTCTGTGGAAGAGGTAAAAATGTTGCGAAAACAAATGGTCGAAATGTATGAAGCTTGGATTAATGGGCAAGCTCCTCCATCTTCGATTCGGGAATACCTGAATGCGAATATGCCATTCCCTATCCAAGTATCGACCAATGATCCAATTTATCCACCTGGATTCGGCCCCTACACTTACACATCGAACGTCGCTGAAACTTCTACAGTGCGTCCCTTGAATACACCTATGATGAGTAACCCGCTATTTGTGCCAACTGCACCGACTAATAGCACTTCAAATCCAACAGTGGTGCCCAAATCCAACAATGATCCTTCATTCCAAGTTCTTCATGACCATGGCTACACCCCTGAAGAGGCCCTTAAAATTCCAAGTTCTTATCCCCAGACTCATCAATATAGTTCCCCTTTCAAAATTGAGAAAACAATTAAGAATGAGGAGCATGAAGAAATGGCTAAGAAAATGAAGAGTTTGGAACAGAGTATAAGAGATATGCAAGGACTAGGGGGCTACAAAGGCATCTCATTCAGTGATTTGTGCATGTTTCCCCACGTCCATTTGCTTACTGGTTTTGAAACCCCGAAGTTTGAGAAATATGATGGTCACGGAGACCCCGTAGCTCATTTGAAGAGATATTGCAATCAATTGAAAGGTGCAGAGGGCAAAGAAGAGTTGCTCATGGCCTATTTTGGGGAAAGTCTAGTAGGAATTGCGTCTGAATGGTTCATAGATCAGGATATAACCAACTGGCATACGTGGGATGATTTGGCTTGATGTTTTGTGCAACAATTCCAATATAACATTGATATTGTGCTAGACCGCTCCTCACTTGCTAACATGAGGAAGAAAACCACGGAAATTTTTTGTGAATATGCCGTTAGATGGAGGGAGCAAGCTGCTAGGGTTAAACCATCAATGAAGGAATCAGAGATGATTGATGTTTTTCTCCAAGCCCAAGAACCTGATTACTTTCATTACTTGCTTTCTTCCGTCGGGAAGACCTTCGCCGAAGTTATCAAGATTGGGGAAATGGTGGAAAATGGCATCAAGTCTGGGAAGATCGTAAGCCAAGCTGCTTTAAAAGCCACAACACAAGCGCTTCAAAATGGTTCTGGAAATATTGGAGGGAAGAAAAGAAGGGAAGATGTAGCCACCGTTGTATCAACACCTCGAACCTATGCCCAAGATAATCATACACAACACTACTTTTCTCCCCAAATTCCACAATATCCTGTCCCATATCCTCAATATCCCATTTTTAGCGCACAACTAAATGTTCTCCCTTCTTATCCGCAATGGCGTGCACCACTTCCTCAAAATCATCCATCACCCCCACAAATTCACCAAAATACAACTAGAATTCCTTTTCGTCCTAGAAAAGAATACAAGAAGGGAAATGGAGCTAAGGATGAGTTCACCCCTATTGAAGAATCATATGCTAGCTTGTTTCAAATATTAAGAACGTTGAATGTTTTGAGTCCTATTGAAAGAAAGATGTCGAATCCTCCTCCGAGAAATCTTGATTATTCCCAGCACTGCGCATATTGTTCTGATGCCCCAGGGCACAACATAGAAAGATGCTGGTACTTGAAAAAGGCAATTCAATATTTGATCAATACTCGTCGAATTATAGTTGAAAGCCCAAATGGACCGAAAATCAATCAAAATCCACTGCCCAGACATACTGAAACAAACATGTTAGAGATGATGAATGACCACGAAGAAGTTGCAGTCCCATACAAGCCAATCCTTAAGGTTGAAACTGGCATGGAAAGTTCAGCAAATGTCGTTGACTTAACAAAAATGATGCCTTCAGGGGCGGAAAGTACGTCTGAAAAGTTAACCCCATCAAGCGCACCCATCCTAACTGTAAAAGGAGCACTTGAAGATGTTTGGGCAAGTCAAAGAGAGGCAAGATTGGTTGTTCCAAGAGGGCCAGACAAGCCTATCTTGATCGTGCAAGGAGCCTATATTCCACCTGTGATCATTAGGCCAGTGTCCCAACTTCCAATGACTAATCCCAAGGCTGTCCCTTGGAATTATGAGCCTACCGTCGTGACATACAACGGGAAAGAAATCAATGAAGAAGTAGATGAAATAGGAGGAATGACTCATTCGGGAAGATGTTATGCCCCGACTGAATTAAGGAAATGTAAAAATGACAAATGCAAGTTAAATGTCCAGTCACTGAAGGGGAGGCAGAGGAGTTCTTAAGAAAGATGAAATTGTCAGACTACTCCATTGTGGAACAGTTAAGGAAAACTCCAGCCCAAATCTTTTTGTTGTCATTGTTAATACATTCAGATGAACATCGTAAAGATGTAATGAAGATTCTGAATGAAGCACATGTTCCTAATGAAGTTACAGTGAGTCAGTTAGAGAAGATTGCTGGGAGAATCTTTGAGGTAAATCGCATCACCTTTTCAGATGATGAACTACCAGTGGAAGGTACGGGACATAACCAAGGCCTCCATATCACTGTAAAGTGTGAGCTTTCATATGTCACTCGAGTTCTCATTGACGGAGGTTCTGGGGCAAATATTTGTCCATTGTCAACTCTACAAAAATTGAATGTTAATGTTGAAAGGGTACGACCTAACAACGTATGTGTTAGGGCGTTTGATGGGTCCAAAACAGATGTCATTGGGGAGATAGAGCTCATACTAAAAATAGGGCCTGTCGATTTCTCCGTGAATTTTCAAGTGCTGAATATTAATGCATCCTACAATCTGTTGTTGGGAAGACCATTGGTGCATAGGGCTGGGGCAGTCCCCTCTACGTTGCATCAAATGGTTAAGTTTGAATACGATCAACAAGAAGTGATTGTTCATGGTGAGGGGGATCTGTCAGTCTACAAGGACTCTTCCCTCCCTTTTATCAAGGCAAATAATGAGAATGAGGCACTGGTTTATCAAGCTTTTGAGGTAGTGGTTGTTGAGCATATCCTCGAGGGGAATCTCATTTCAAAACCACAACTACCCATGGCATCTGTGATGATGGTAAATGAAATGCTGAAGCATGGGTTTGAACCAGGTAAAGGCTTGGGGATCTTCTTGCAAGGGATAGCTTATCGAGTGACTCCACGAAAGAGTCTAGGTACTTTTGGCTTAGGATACAAGCCTAGAGTCGAGGAAAAAATGAAGGCCAAGAAGCAGAAGAGAGATGTATGGTCACTTACTAAGCCTATACCACTCATATACAAAACTTTCCTCAAAGCCCGCACAATAGCATCTTCTGAGTCACCACTCCCAGAGCTAGTGTTGGAGGTTCACGAAGAATTGATCAACTATTTTCAAGATTTATTCGTCGAGGCTGATGTGATTGAACTCGAAGAAGGCACTAGCGACAGAGATGTGCAATTCATTGGTCCTGATGTCCAGCTGAACAATTGGGAGGCCACTCCTCTCCCCATTAAGAATGAGTCTTGGTAGTCTGTCTTGTTTTTCTTTTTGTCATTCGATTTATTCAAGGGTTGTAATTCGGATTTTGTGTCATCATTTTATTTCAAACTCACTATTTTCCTTTTCAATAGGATGTAATTGTGTTTTTATTTCAGTCTTAATATTTATTTATTTTTCTTCAATACAGTTCTTTCTATGCCAATTCTAGTGATATGACATGCATGCAGAATTTTTCATCGGATCTGAAAATCCAATCTAATCTTCGACCTAATCCTGAAATAATAAGTCAAGAAATCGAATATGATGAAGATGAAGTATTTGAAGAAGTAAGCAGGGATTTCAAATCTTTTGAGAATAAATCAAACCCAAACATGAGTGAAACTGAGACGATAAATTTAGGGGATCATGAAAATATAAAGAGACTAAGATAAGCGTACATGCTCGACATCAAAAGGAAGATATAATTCAGGCTCTGTTTGATTACAAGGATGTTTTTGCGTCATCTTATGATAACATGCCTGGATTAAGCACTGACATAGTGGTTCACGAGTTGCCGATTGATCCTAAGTTCCCTCCAGTAAAGCAGAAGTTGAGAAAGCTTAAAACTGACATGAGTGTAAGAATTAAAGAGGAAATCACAAAACAACTTGAGGCCAAAGTTATTCGAGTCGCTCAATATCCTTCTTGGTTAGCTAACATCGTACCTGTCCCTAAGAAAGACGGCAAAGTGCGAATGTGTGTTGATTATCGTGATTTGAACAAAGCAAGTCCAAAAGATGATTTTCCTTTGCCCAACATTCATATTTTGTTGGATAATTGTGCTAAACATGAGGTTGCATCTTTTGTGGATTGCTATACGGGTTACCATCAGATTATTATGGATGATGAAGATGCAGAAAAAACGTCTTTTATCACTCCATAGGGTACATATTGTTATCGGGTTATGCCTTTTCGATTAAAAAATGCTGGTGCAACTTATATGAGGGCAATGACAACCATGTTTCATGATATGATGCATAAAGAAATCGAAGTTTATGTGGATGATGTGGTCATTAAATCAAAAAAGCAGTCAAAGCCAAATTTTCTCCAAATTGGAAAGGACCATTCATTGTAAAGAATGTATTATCCAATGGTGCTCTTTACTTAGCAGATATGGAAGGCAAAATGACAGAAATGGTCATCAATGCTGATGCTGTGAACAGATATTATATATGATGTGATTTTTCGGTATTAGAAACCCTTATGTTTGGACTTGACATTTCAAAGGTTGATCTAATGGAAATTCTTAGTTCTGTGTCTAAGTATTAATTCATATGTTGTCACCCTTGTTGAGAGTTAATTTACTTCCTTGGTTCTTCTGCTTCATTGGCTCTTCCATAAAATAAAATAAAAATTAAAAAAAAAGAAAATCAATCGACATGAACAACGTTTGACCTGATTCTTGTTTCAACAAGATACGTAGGCAACCCTGTCGTTGTGTTCGGTCTAACCAAACAAAAAATCCAAAATTCCATATTTGTAAAAAACTGGGGCAAAGGTCATTTTTTTTATATTTTTTATTTTATGTTTTATTATTTCTATCCCAAAGCTAAAGTCGATCCCATCATTTAAATTCGTATTTGAGACTTCATCTTATCATTTCTTTCTAACCTTGTACAAAAGTTGGATAAAGACCTTTGGATCAACCTTTGAAGTGTCAAGAGTACGTATGTTAAGAGTACAAATGATGAAACCATGAGAGAGTCTTATCGGTGAAAATCCTAACTGGGCATCATAAGGCGAATACGAGTTGAGAGAAATAAAATGAGAGAGTCTTATTGGTGAAAACCCTAATTGGGCATCATAAGGCAAATGTGAGTTGGGAGAAACAAAAATGAGAGAGTCTTATTGGTGAAAACCCTAACTCGGCATCATAAGGCGAAGGTGAGCTGTGAAAAAAAATAAAAAATAAATAAAAAATGAGAGAGTTTTATTGGTGAAAACCCTAACTGGGCATCATAAGACGAATGTGAGTTGAGAGAAATAAAAATGAGAGAGTTTTACTGGTGAAAACCCTAACGGGCACCATGAGGCGAATGTGAGTTGAAGGATTCAAAGTGAAAGAGTTTTAGTGGCAAAAACCCTCGTGGACATCATAAGGCGAATAAGAGTTTGAAATTAGTTAAGACTTCGTCAAATAGTTGGAACTCCACATCAAGATTAGATGATCAACAATGGTCGATGAATAGATTGGATGGACAAATCGGGTAATCAATTCAAATTGCATGTCATGATCAGTAGAGTCGGCTACCACACTCAGATAAGTTTTTCTTTCTTTCTCTTTCTAAAAGAGAGTCTTCATCGAATCATTTTCTGCTATTCTCGCGTAGTATATATTTTTCTTTCACTTTTCAGCGCTTTGTTTCATATGTCCTTGAGTCAAGTTTATGTCAAGAAAGTAAGAAAGGATTTCAAGACTTGTTACCAATTCTAAATTTGTACAATGCAAAGCATCAGGCCAATGAGTTATCATCTGTCGGCAAGTTTTGGATTCAGAAGAAGTCCATGATTTGATGAAGGGTAAACAATGAGTGTTATGACATAAAGGCAGATATTGGATTTAAGTCCCTCAAAATGAGCAAATTTGGGTGAAAATACAATCAATCAATAACGAGCACTGGGCATTTGGAAAAAGTAAAACACGATGAGTACTGGAGCAATCCTCGTCAAAGGGCAGAACGACAAACCAACCACCACGTTTTTAAACTCACAAATTTTCTTTGTTGAAGCAGGGGCACAAGTTATTTCGAGATCAAAGATCCAAAAACCTGGATGTTCAATTTAGTCTACGAAGAGCTAAATGGCAACATTGCACACGAATTATAGTCCATATTGGGTAAGTGTTTGTTTGTCTTATTAGTCTATGGAACATAGTGTAGCAAGGACCCTCCTGAATAATGGGACGTAGTGTAGCAAGGACCCTCCTAAATAATGGGAGGTAATATAGCAAGGACCCTCCTGAATAATGGGACGTAGTATAGCAAGGACCCTCCTGAATAATGGGACGTAGTATAGCAAGGACCCTCCTAAATAATGGGACGTAGTATAGCAAGGACCCTCCTGAATAATGGGACATAGTATTGCAAGGACCCTCCTGAATAATGGGACGTAGTATAGCAAGGACCCTCCTGAATAATGGGACATAGTATAGCAAGGACCCTCCTGAATAATGGGACGTAGTGTAGCAAGGACCCTCCTGAATAATGGGACGTAGTGTAGCAAGGACCCTTCTAAATAATGGGACGTAGTGTAGCAAGGACCCTCCTGAATAATGGGACGTAGTGTAGCAATGACCCTCCTGAATAATGGAACGTAGTATAGCAAGGACCCTCCTGAATAATGGGACGTAGTATAGCAAGGACCCTCCTCGATAATAGGACTAGACTAACATAATTTTATTTAACCGGCTCATCATGAAGAATGGAGTTGGTGTAAACACGCATAAGCCCTTTAAAGAGTACATCGCGACAAAGCTCGAATTGTTCAAAGTCTCGAGTTAAAGCTAAGTACCATCTTTTATTTTTCTCACAAAATTTTCTTATATTAAACTGAGGCAAAATTTTGTGTTATTATTATTTTTTTTGTTTTAATTCAGGAATCTAGTGATAGAATGGGGTCAATCCACATTTCCAGCTCAGGATCTTGGATGGAAAAAGTGTAATTTTCAAGATCAATTTCGATTGAAGAAGCAGCAACTCATTCAAAAAAATAAAAAAAAGTCAATAACCAAGTACCAGTAAAAGGAACCTACCTAGAGAAAGACGTTTACCTTTGAACTCATTTGAGATGAAAATCAATATCTCATAACTCAAGAAGCGCGAAGACTCAAGTCAAGGTTCAAGAGAAGCTACATAGATAGGGTCGTGTATTTGTATTGCCATTAAATTTTTCGTCTTTTATATTCATGTAACAATAGGAGTCACGAACTGGAGCCTCAATGGGACCTCACTTGACTTCCAACTCCTCATTTCATCTCCTTGAACTACACGTGACCTGATTCCCTCATAACCCGGGATATGTAGGATGTCCAAAACTAGGACTCGGTCGCATATTTTTCTTTTCGAATAAGAGTCCGTTCAAAACTTGTCATGTTGTCTACTTCTTTGTCTGAAAACTCTTTGTGTTTCCAGTCAAAGAGGGGCAAACTGTAGACACGCATTTTTTGACCGAACTTAAAATTTTACACCATTCTTAGAGCTGAAATATTTTTATAAATATAAATTAAACATTTTGACTTTTCTCTTATTTTTATTAAGTTTATTTTAAAAGATTTGAAAACAACAAAATAGAATCACTTTTTAAGGTAAGTTTTATTGTCAATTGTTTAAAAAGAAATGGAAGATTACAAAAAATCTATATTTGAAATTAAGTTTTTATAAATAAGCTAGTATTATTTAATTGTTTTTTTTTTATATATATAGCTAGTTGACTTTTTCTTAGATTTTTATTAATTTTAAATAATTAGTTTATATGTTATTATAATTTATTATTTGTAGTTAGTTATTGTTCTTTTAAAAGTAGAGTAAAACTAAAATTAGAATAAAAAAAAACCTAAATAATCTAACAAACCTACCCCACTCCTACTCCTATCCAAAACATACTACACGTACAAAAACAAAAAGGGAAAAGGAGAACAAAAGCTTTTGACTTTTCTTCCAAAAATTAAAAAAATAAATAAGAAAAGAAAATAAAACCATCATCAAGTTATACTCCCACTTTCTCTCAACTTCCCCACACTCCCACTCCCTCATGTTTTCCTCCACATTCCACACCCCACACAATACAACCCACTACCCCACACCTACACCTATCCTAACACCTATATACATACACCCACATACTACAAAAAAAGGACAGACAAAAAAAGCATACATAGAGATATATGCATTAATTAAAAAGCAATACATATTGTACTTTCTCACATTGTAATTGAAGATTTGGAAATATATTTTCTCGGTTTCAAGTTCGTGGCTCCTGATTATTTGTCATTTCTTCTCGTTAACTAATTTTCACAAGAGGTAACATTTATTTGTATTTTTATTATTTGCATAATTTTATGTCATTATTGTGCAAGAATTAATTTCAATATATTGAAGTTGTTCAGATTTCGTATGTGTTTAATATGTTAATATTATTAATGTCGTGTACTGAAATATATTCGAACATGCTATATGACATGTTAGTATTTCTTACATGCTTAAGAGTCCATTCCTCGCTCTTTTTCCTTAATTAATTATCAAAGTTTTTATGTTTGTGTCTTACTAAGTTTAATGAATTCTTTGTTCGATAGTATTTAGAAAAGTATTAAGTCATGTTTTATGCTATAATATGTGTGTTGTCTTGATATTTAGGATTCTAACAAAAAATAATAATAATAAACTTGTTAGTATAAGGAGAAACTACGAAGACAAATTAAATTAAAATAGATTAAAAAAAAAGAAAAAGAAAAATAAATGTACAGAATGTCAAAAGCAAAAATATTATAAAAATATATATAAAAAAAAACAACGAAAAATAATGAAACAAAAACATAGCACAACAAAAATTAAAAAATAAAAAGCAAAGAAGAAAAACAGAATAAAAAAAAATATACAGAACGTTTGAAAAAAAAAACTCACAAAGAAAAAAAAAATAAGAAGAGAGAAGTAGAATGAAAAAAATAATATAAATAAAACAAGATGTGCACAAAAAAAAAGGGTAAGAAGAAGAAGAAACAGAATGTTAAAAAAAATATAAAAATAAAAACTACAAAAAAAAATGACGTGCAAGAAATAGAATAAAGAATTAAAGAAATTTCCAAGAAATTGGTCTTAACCTCTTTAACATTTTCTTTTTTTTTCTAAAATTAATTCTAAATCCCATAGAAGTTTACCTCATATTATA